CGACAGTCATCTTGAAAACAATTCAAGCGGCGAAGTTGTGGTGAATTCACGTATAGTTCCAGTCAAAATTTCAGTACTGCGGTGAGTAGTTATTTTCTTACGTTTATAAATTTCGTTGTAATTTATATAAAGCTATATGTGATTTGTTGATAAGTAGCATCCACTAATAAAAAATATCAGTAAAATACTTAATTCCGAATTATAATCTCAAATTTTTATCCAATTCATCAGTACTGTGTCGTTAGTGTTCGATGTTTCGGTTATCTTTTTCATTATAAACTCATATAAATTTGGTGTGGGTCCCATATCTAATAATTGAGATATCGGTTAACCCAAAATCGACCAGCCGCCACTGATGTGTGGTATTATTTGATTTTAAGATATTTAATGTATAATATGCTCAAAGTTGCAATAAATCTTATATTTTCCAATAAATTATGTATTTAATTAGTAACCTGGTATACTCGTCACCTCCCTTGCATTCAAATTTAGAAAACACAGATATTTCAGAAACTGTTTGAAAAAGTGACTGGCCCGGTCTGGAACAGTATATTTATAATACTATCTATGTTCTCATAACAAAATACTGATTAATTTTCTCAGAAAACTTACCAAACAAAATGAGGTCAAAACCCAACTTTTGTAGAATCACCCATATATTAAACCTTGTATATTACTATCTACGTTTGTGACCCATTTGTTTGCTACTCACCCCTGTAAAATCTTTATTTATTGTGCGATTTTAACCGGATTTGTTTTAAAGTTTAGATCTTGATAAACTGTATTATTGGATCAATTTTTACAAAATGCAAGGCCTACTATGTTAGTTTTTGTGAGCAATTTTTTAAGAATTCATATCAGCGATTTAACAAAATCTATGCACGATACTGGATTTACCGCCCCTCAAAACCACTTTATACTAAATTTTATTGAAATTTTAAGTAGAAACGATTTTGTAGCAAAATAGATTTTTTTAAATCGCCAATATGAATTCTTAAAATTTTACTCAAAAACTATTTTGAATTTTGTAAAAATATGGTGTTTTTGGCTCCAAAAATACAGTTTATTAAGATCTACACTTTCAAACAAACCCGGTTAAAATCGAACAATAAATAAAGATTTTACAGGGGTGAGTAGCAAACAAATGGGTCACACTGTATATTCGAATAATTGACTACCACTTAGAAAAAGAAAGAAGTTACGAGAATTCTTACTTTTGTTTTTTGTAGTATATTTTTTAACCTTGGCTGAGTATTTTTCCCTTTGATCCGCACTACATAAATTTTAAGTCTCAAGTGGCTTCTTCAACTGTGAATATTTACGATGTTAACCCAATTTGTAAACTAAACTGAAAACTATTTAAAGACGAGCTATCATTCATAAGTGAGCACTTGACAGTGATTGCTTCATTTAAATACAACACCCGAATGCATAAAATTAAAAAAATACCAAGTTCATTTCCTTTTCAGAACAATTAAGGAAGTTAAACTGGTAATTAACTCCAGAGTTTTTTCATTCGTTTAAAAAATATTTATTTTTAAATTTTAAGTAACAGCACATTGTTTTAGAGTTGGTATTTGATAATGTCCTTGATATAATCTCACTTTGACAAACTAGATTTACCTACTATACATTAATTTAAGATTTAATTCCTGCAAAGGCATCTTTCTAATTGCAAAAAAGCGCGGCAAGTCGGATTTACTGCATAATTGATAATTAAAATTAAATTTATGGGGAAAGCCTGTCTAAAAGCAACAATTTAGTTATTAATTTTATTAATAATTTATGCGTATGTTAATAATTATGTTTATTCGCCTTTTAAGGCACAACTAAGAGGCTTATTTAGCGGTAAAATTCCTGATTTATTTCGAATACTTGAATTTTATTATTTTACTTTGTTAACAAACTTTATCTTTTATTTTTTAACACGTCTATTTAAGGAACATCAAAGATTATAAGCGCAGTCGAAATATTTGTTTAAATATTGTTTGCAATCTTTTTATATTATAAAATATTCCGACAAACGTAGATATTACTCAAAGTATTTTATTAGATTATTTTTTGACATTTTTATGCAACAAAAATACATGCAGTTACGAACAAAATTGTATAACATCTTAAAAAGCTTCCTTAACTTAAAGCTCGGGATACTGTAAACAAGTAAAATTTGTTATGTTTATCTAAAAATTTATCGTTTTTATATTGACCATAAAAATGTCGGCAAAATTGTAAACATTAATTAATTAGGTAATGTTTAAGTCAAAAATATTAGATCACCAAATAAATTTATTTATAAAAGTAATTTTGTAACAATCCCATGTTATAAAAACTTTAATTTTATTAAACAAAACGTGAAGTAATTGCTAACATATTTTCCATTTATAATGTCAGTCAATATTATTAACCGTTGACTTGCTATGCATAGTAAGTGTACTTATAATTAGTATAATGAGCTTCTCCAGCATAGTTTTAATTGCTTTTTATTCATACCGATACCTAATTAATTAAAATAAAGTAAAAACACCTAAAAAAACTTAACTAAAAAAGCCATAGATTTTAAAAGCGTTTTGTTCATACAATTTTTTATGAAAATTGTTTTTGAGTACTTTTTTTTATTTCTAAAAAAATTGACCAAAATTGTAGGATGTTTATTTTTTATAAACGTTGATTTTAAAGAAAATTTTAAAATTTGTTTTTCTACATTTTCTGTTAATTTTCAAAAATTTGAAAAATTTATGATGAAATAGGTAAATAGTTTTTCTAAAAATTCTAACTTTGACTTTTTGTTATATATGTTTAAAATGACAACCAGTATTTTGAAATAATGGTAATAGGACTTTTTTCCTAAACTTAAACTTGAATTGTTCTATTTTTATTTCTTAAATACCTAATTAGTATAATTTTATAGCATTCTCAAAAAGTTATAGTAAAATTTTGCGTCTAAAAAACTTGAACCACTACACTGGTTGATTTAAAAAAGTTTTTTTCCACACGATTTTACACTGTCGCAAACTAACGAAAGCCTCTAAAAAAATTGGCAATTTTTCTGTTCATTTTTAAAAAGTTTGACAAAATAGCAGGATTTTGACAGGAAAAAGTTAGAACAGATTTGGCAGGAATTTTGATACCACAAAGAATTTTTTGTGAATTTTCTGTTAAATTTTAAAAATTTGAAGGAATTTTTGTCAGCCGGATTTTTCTTATACAATGGGTATTGTATGCGACTCACCCCAATAAAATCTTTATTTATTATGCGATTTTAACCGGATTTGTTTTAAAGTGTGATCAACTGTATTTTTGAAGCAAAAAACGCCATATTTTTACAAAATACAAGGCCTACTAGCGATTTTTTTAAACAAAATCTAAGCACGGCACTGGATTTACCACCCCTCAAAACGACCCTATAGGTACTAAATTTTATTGAAAAATTTTAAGTAGAAAATGGACAATAATAACTACAAAAATTTATTTTGTCAAGTTATCTATGGCGTCTTTTCCTCCAAAAATACAGTTTATCAAGATCTATACTTTAAAACAAATCCGGTTAAAATCGCACAATAAATAAAGATTTTACAGGGGTGAGTCTCAAACAAATGGGTCACATTGTATATGAAGTAGCGAAATAGGTATATAAACATTAAAAAAAAATTTTAAAATCATTGTTTTGAAATTCCTAATAAGTTATAATTGTTTTTTTCAAAACTTCTTAAATTCTATCTATTTTTATTTTTAAAATAATTGGAATAATAATTTTTGAATTATGAAAAGGTTATAGCAAAATAATAAAAAAACAAACCTAAAAAAAATGTTTGCATTTTCTATTTATTTTCAAAAAATTTGACAAAATTTTCAGAAATTTTATCTCAGCAGGAACTTTTTGAAAATTGTTTTTTATAATATGAATAACTTTTTTTAAATTATTTGTGAAAAAGGTTATGAAATTTTAAAATAATGTTATTTTAAAATCCTTTTTTAAAATGAGAAACAGTATTTTAAAATTCCTAAAATTATACAACTTGGGTCGTATTTTTTCAAAACCTAAATTATTATTATTTTTTTAATAATTAGTACAATATTTTTATAGCAATATTAAAATAAAAAAGGTTATAGTAAAGTAATAAAAAAACAAACCTTATGCAACAGTTCACCTTTAAAAAACTTGAACCACTAGTTGATTTAAAAGAGTTTTTTACACACGATCGCGTACGGTTCACAAACTGATGAAAACCTCTCTACTTGTGATTTTATTTTCGACGCTAAAATTGGTACGGACTCGGTTTAAAAATAACGCTGAGGCCGACGTGGTCCAGCGCCGAACTAAAACGATTTCAAGTAAGGGAGTCCACTGTTTTGTCGTTTTAACATTTCCCTGCTAGGTTTTTTTCAGGAGTTAGTTCGTTAGTTAAAGTGGCGACTTTGTATTTAAGTAGTAGTAGGCGCACAGCAGGAAGTGAGGCTCATTATTGGTTCACAAATTAGAGTTTGACTTAGAGGCATAAAACACGGAACGAATTGTAAGTGCTTTTCTAATTAAAATTTAGTTTAGTTTACTTTGAAAATGCAGGTTGAGTAATTTGTAACGTTCTTTTGAATACAATTTTAACCGATATTTTTAGCATTTAATTTAAAAGTTTTGTTAGGATTTTGCAGGATTTGCTGTTTTTAATTGATTTCTTAAAATGTTAAAAGAAAAAAAATGTTATAACTTAAAATAAAATAAATGTTTCTAAACTCAAACGAAAGCTTTACTTACAAGCTTAGCAATAACCCTGCAATCGATACTAGGAAATTGAATTCCTGCACTGGAGTGTGTATTAAATTTACTGATATTAACATACACCTCGACCAACTAGTGTATTTATAAAATCTCCACACCTGAGCGGCACTTGCCAAGTCTTTATTCACTATTTTCGTTTGCGTACACCTTACCGACAATATCGTCTAGCAGCAGCAGGAAACAAGAAGCGTTTGGGCCGAAAATAAACCGAAAAATTACTCACCAGAATCGGTGTCTTCTTCGTTATCGAACTCCTCGATGTGCATCGGGCTATTGGCTCGCACAACTTGATCGTCGGCTATAACGACCGGAACAGCAGGAGTCGGAGCAGGAAGGGGGTGCCGACCCTCGGGACCCGGAGAAAAGTGCAGCTCCACGGCGCCGTCCACAGGAAACCGAGAATCTAGAAGAAAGTTACAATTTTAATTTCAAATTTTGCAGGAATTTTAGCAGGAATTGTAATTCCAGCAGAACAGTTGCAAGAATTTATTTTTTTTAACATTTTATTTATTTATTAAACCCAAAAAGAATACATGATTACATAGTATAGCAGGAAAATAAAAATATTGAACAAAATCTCCAATTTTAAAAATGCAAAATTTGCAGGAATTTAATTAGCAGCAGGAATTATATTTTATGAAAATTGCATCTTTTTCGATATTTGTCGATGCTTAAAAAGATTTCTTAGAAAAAGTTTGCAGGAATTTGTAGCAGGAATTGTAATTCCAGCAGAAAGAACACTTTCAAGAAGAGAATCTAGAAGTTGCAAGAATTTATTTATTTAAACATTTTTTTTATTTATTAAGAATACATTTAAACGTTTGCAGGAATTTTAGCAGGAATTGTAATTCCAGCAGAACAGTTGCAAGAATTTATTCTTTTTAACATTTTATTTATTTATTAAACCCAAAAAGAATAAATGATTCCATAGTATAGCAGTAAAATAAAAATATTCAACTATTATATAAAACACTTGTATTTTAATATAAATTTATTTTTAATTAAATACAGAGTGTTTCATAATATATGCGCAGGACTTCAGGATGTGATAGCTCATCCAAAAAGATGAAAAAAGTCGCTATTAACTTACCCTCTAAAATGCACAATTTTCGAGATACAGGGTGTTGAAATTTAAAAAAAAAATCGTTTTTTTCGAATATCTCCGGAACCGTTTATCGTATAAAAAACAGCTTTTGTAAGCATTTTTTACTCATAATAAGCTATGTTTTTTACTCATAATTGGTGGAGATTTTGAAGGGGTAGCGGGTGTTTTTTTCCTCAACTTCTACACCCCTGAAAAAAGTACGGTTTTGAGAGGCCCATCGACTTTTATGTTTAAAAACATGGTCAATTTAAAAAAAAAAATTTTTACTAATTAAACAAAATTTATTTTAACGTTAGAACAAGTAACAAAACCAAACGATAATTCTGTGGGTAAAAGGCATAAGGGGATAAGTCAAAAAAAGGAATTTTTCAATAGAGCCTTTAACGTAATCGCATTAATTCAGGAAATATATTTATGTTTAGCGGGTATACGCTTTTGTTAGCATATTACATGTGGTAACAAAAGGGTATACCCGCTAACCATAAATATTTTTCCTAAATTAATGCGAATACGTTTAAGGCTCTACTGAAAAATTGCTTTTTTTGACTTATCCCCTTATGCCTTTTACCCACAGAATTGCAGAATTAAAAAAAAATAAAAATGATTTTACACAAATGCTGAAATGTGTTTTTGTTACTTGTCCTAACGTTAAAATAAATTTTGAATAATTGGTAAAAAAAAATTTTCAAAACAAAAAAAAAAATTTCAAAACATAAAAGTTGATTTTTCTCGAAAACGGTCAACTTTAGAGCTTATGACCAAGTACCTTTTTATTATTTTTATTATTATTATTATTAAAATCTCCACCAATTATGAGTAAAAAAATTTTTTTCTGGCACAAAATATAGCTTATTATGAGTAGAAAATGCTTACAAAAGCTGTTTTTTGTACGATAAACGGGAGATATTCGAAAAAAATTTTTTTTTCTAAAATTTCAACACCCTGTATCTCGAAAATTGTGCAATTTAGAGGGTAAGTTAATGACGACTTTTTTCATCTTTTTCAGCAGGAATGGTATTTTATGAAAATTGTTTCTTTTTCGATTTTTGTCGATGCTCAAAAAGATATCTTAGAAAAGAAGACATTTGGAATGTGTAGCAGGAATTGTAATTCCAGCAGAATGAACACTTTTAAGAAGAGAATCTAGAAGTTGCAAGAATTTATTTATTCAAACATTTTTTTTATTTTTTTATTAAACCCAAAAAGAATACACAGGCCCGTTCCTGGGGTGTCTGGCGCCTGCGTGCAGCATTCGCTGGTGCGCCCTTTTTATATTTAAATATAATACATTAAATTTTTGAATTTTAAGCCGTAAAATATAAAAAATATATATTTTGTGACAAACTGGCAATATTTAATTGAAAATGAAAAAAAAACCGCTTAAATTAAGTATAAAAAATATTTATTAAATTACCAAACAAACAAGTAAAAAAATCGAAAAAACACGTTGCTAAGTAATATTTTAACAAGAAGCATGAGTGCTGGTGGCAACAAAAATCCGAGTCGAAGACGAGGATTTTTCCACCTGCACGAATGCATTTTGTTAAAAAATATTACTTAGCATTGTGTTTTTTCAATTTTTTTCAAAGTTAGATGCCCGAATGGTATTTGACATGAGTAACAGTTAACAATTAAAATATAAATTACAATTTTTGGTGACAACAGCTGTCAAGTTTTGCCGCAGGTAAACTCGAAAAAACTGCTGACAGGTGCTGTCATACAGTTTTTCCTCCTAGAAACCATTTGTAGTTCAAAATTGCGCGTTTGTGATTGGTGGAAATTAAGACGAGGGAAATAGTCAGTGATAAAAATACTCTAAAGAAAATAAAAAAAACAATCTAAACAATATAATAACTTTAACTGGTTTATAGTGACGTACTCTCTAAAAATGATTAGTTTTCAAAGTAAAAAAGCAGTCACTAATAACTTTAGTCCACAGCAATTTGTATCCAGGGCATTTAATAGCTTATTATTATCTAAAATTGTTCCCTAAATCCGAAAATACCGTCAAAAATTATTAATTAAAGCAGTTTTTAGGATATAGTCAATACCATATTATATGGAAAATTTACTAAATCTTAAAAACGTTCTACTTTTATAACTTTTGACGACATTTTCGGATTCAGCGGACAATTTTACATAGGAGTTGACTGCTAAATATCCGGGATACAAATTACTATTGACAATAATTATTAGTCGCTGCTTTTTCGCTATTGCAATTAGACTAATTGAATTAGTCATTTTTGACTAATTCTATTTTAGAGAGTTAATTTGCTACCGTCAACTGCAACTATCAAACAAATACTAAAGATAATATGACCATTTCTCTCCTTTTATTTTGATCCTCATATCAAAACAAAATAAGCAGCCAATATCAAAGCGGCAAAAGGCGCTTTATAGCGACCGAAAAAAAGAGCGGCCGACGCAAAAAAGGCAGAAACCTTTATCCAATGTATGTTTAAGTATCATATGCAAGAAAGTTTATCGTTACAAAGTACTGATTGACTCTTTGATTTTGCGCCCCCGAAATGTTGCGCCTGCGTGCGTGCACGCACTGCACGCTCGCCAGGAACGGGCCTGAGAATACATGATTCCATAGTATAGCAGGAAATTAAAAAAATTTAACAAATATTACAATAAAACACTTGTATTTTAATATAAATTTATTTTTAATTAAATATTCTGCAATTTTTTCGATGCTCAAAAAGAAGACATTTAAAAGTTTGAAGGAATTTGTAACACTTTCAAGTGCAAGAATTTGCAATTTTAAAAATTCAAAATTTAATTTTCAGGAGGTATTTTATAAAAATTGCTTCTTTTTCGAGTTTTGTCGATTTCTTAGAAAAGCAGACAATTAAAAATTTGCAGGAATTTATAGCAGGAATTGTAATTCCAGCAGAACACTTTCAAATAATCGCTTTAACTTAAGCACATACACGGGAATTCGACACTCATTCGGAAATCGAAATAGTTCAGCAGGAAACCCGAATTTACCTGTGCAAGCGTTATCCAATTCCTGCCGCGTGAAGCTGAGCGTGTGATCCGATACGGCACACGTGTGAAATTGACAGGCGAAGATGGTTTCGCGTCCCATTTCCGCACGGTGATAGCACTTGATGAGGATGTCGCCTCTGAGTTGCAGGCCGCCGCGACGCTCTCCTGCGACGTTCACCGTGAACTGGCTGACGCCCTTCGAGACCGAGTAAATTCCTGCAAATAATAAATAAATGTTAATTTGTGTTTGTTAACGTTTTTGTGGCGAACCACATTGGTAATAATGAAAATCCTGCTAAAACCACAATACATAATATTTAAAATTTAAATGCAAAACGAATAAATGCACTTTAATGCAAATGTTTTTTACCTGAAGTGTAAACGGGCGTATGTCCTTCGTATAATTTTAAAAACGCCTTGCATCCTCCCTGCTGAAAAGACGGAGTGCCCACGACTGTAACATGAGTCAGATATAAAGGTGCAGAGTTTATTTTTATATGATGAGATAGCAGGCCTGCAAAGTATTCCACGTATCTGAAAAAAGTAAAATATGATTTAGTAAAAATAATATTTTTTTAATATTGCATGGAAAGAGTCAGTCAGCAGGAACATTTTTTAAAATTGTTTTTTTTTTGACAAAAATTACAAAACTTGGATTTTATTTATTTTTATTGTATTCTGCAGGATTTTTTAAAATTTAAAACAAATATTAAAATTAGATACAATTTCTTGGTTTTCCTGGAAATTCCTGGATATAATTTATTTAGCAGGATTTTTTTAATATCTTAGAAACATATATACTTTCATGATTTTCTTTGTTTCGGTTGTACATACTTTCTTAGGTTTATAACAAAAATTAAAAATGTATACTTTTTGGTTTTCTTTACTTTTATTGTATTTTGCAGGATTTTTGTATATTGGAGGAACATTAGAAAAAAGATAAAAATATATACTTTTTTGAGTTTCTTTGTTTTAATGAAATTTGTATTTTGCAGCATTTTTGAATGCGTCTTTTTATTATTTTTAGAAAAATATTATTGTTTCTGTTGTATTTTGTAGGATTTTTTAAATTTAGAACCAACATTAAAAAAGAGATATTTTATTGGTTTTCTTTGATTTTATTTTATTTTGCAAGATTTTTTTTATATTGCAGGGACAATACAACAAAAATATACATATACGTTCGTTGATTTTCTTTGTTTTAATTTAATTTGTATTTTCCATAATTTATTTCATGAATAAAATTAAAATCTGTATATCAGTTTTAACACAATTTAAAAAAATATATTTTGAATTTTCTTTTGATTTGCAGAATATGTTTTGTTAATTTTAGACCAAAAAAATAAAAAAAAGAACTTTTCTTAGTCTTCTGTGCTTTTTTTGCAGGATTTTTTGTATATTGCAGGGACATTAGAACAAAGATAATAGTATATACTTTTCTTGATTTTCTTTGTTTTAATTGACTTTGTAGTTTGCTGGATTTGTGTTATATTTAATCCTCTAAAAATATTGATGTAAAATCAAAAACGATACATATTATCAATATAACTATAGTTCAGTTACCTAGTAACTTTTGCTGTGTGATGCGTGCTTTGCAGACATGCGCAGTCTTTAATTTTCTATGGTGTGAGATACAAAAGGGTCTTAGAATTTGTTAAATTAGTCTTTTCTTTGATACAAATAGGTACAATTTTTTCCCAGCTTTCTGAATGTTTCGTTTATATTCTTTCGAAATAATAATAATAATAAGCAGCTTAAATTTAAGTTCCAATTTTTTTTTATGCTGTCATAAAGTTTTAAATTTAAATGAGATACCAACTTTATAAAAAAAGACGATAATAATTATTGTCATTGTTGCCAAGCTGATAATAAAAGTTAGTTTGTGCTACCGTATACATGAATTGACTTTAATAATAAATTTAATGTATTTTATGATTGAATTATGGTTGTTGCATTTCGGTTAAGTTCATAAAAATCGACTTTTATTATAAAATATCCCGTTAATTTATAGCATCATAAAAGTATAGCTTTTTTGGACAGGTGTTATTAGTTAAAAATATATTTTATGCTCAAAATTTTAAAATTTATGATGTATTTTTAAGTTATTTCAGGATATTTTTTGTTTTTGATACTTATTTTTTAGATATTTTTGCAGGATATTTTTTTCAACTTTTTTTAATACTTACTTTTTTGCATTTTTCAGATTCATAATCGAAATTCCTGCTATAACCAAGTTATTTATGACTTGATTAATGCTACATAATAAATTTGCGACGTTAAAACAAATAACCGAGAGCAAACTTATTTTATTCACTACACTTATAACCATTTTGCACGCACTCTATAGTACGTTATACTCAATTTAAAATTAATTTCATATATGCCCACACATAACAGTACAAACATCCTGCAGCTTGCAGCTCTGGAGCTCTGATACTCAATTATTATATGCAAAATGTTTAATAAATATGGAAATTATTTTGTGCGATGTTTTATAAGTAGAATTTTACCTTTTGTTCGATGGTAGACTGAGCGGTCCCACGTTGTCGTCCAAGAATCTTCTCATGGAAAAGCGATCCAGCGCCTGCTCGGCGTTGCCGCATATGCTGGAATAGTGCATGTATGCTGCTACTATGACGCCTAGCCTTTCCCTGCTACCCCTGTGAAATTTTAAAAATAAATTAAAAAAACCCTATTTTTGGCAGAATGTAAAATTTTTAGAAATCGTGTTTTTTGTTTAGCCAGTTTTTAGATACTTTCAATTAAGGCCACCGTGCTTTTATTTCAAGTGTACACAAACTGTCTTTTGAACCTCATCAGTGCCGTATAGCCATGTGGAAGCACACTTGAAACACACTACCACAATTTGGCTCTATATATTATTTCAATTTACTTTTTGGGTTTTAAATATTCATTTTTTATCTTTTTAAGTTCAACTTAATAAATTATAAATATTAACTATGGGATTAAGATACTTACTATTTTTATGTAGTTTTTTCTCATTTAATTTAACAAGTTATAAATATTAACAATAAGATTACCTAAGATAAAGAAATAAGATATAAAATGAAATGTTTTGTATAATAAAACAATCATTATAGAAGTTTATTTTATTTGCTTGTAAAAAAAGTAACAAAGTTTATGGTTTTATGATTTCCTTTATTTTTTAGTCTCAGGTATTTAAAAATATACTAATTTTTAATCTCTCAGGTTTTTATTAAATTATTTTGTAATATTTCTTATAATATTGTATTGTTTATACAATTTTAAGTATTACTAAAAACGCGTTTTGTGCTACCATACATTGAGTGAGTTACCATATCTATTTATTGATTGGTAGGAATAACGAGTCGGTTAATACATCATGTATAATTTGTTCAGAAAGTCTGCATATATATATTTATATTAAAATTAACTTTCAAACTAGTTCTTGAAAGTTGTATAAGTTTTTTCACAGCAATGTTTTGACTTTCTTGATATTATAGGGAAACGTCCTATTTGCAACAACTTTTTATATCTGTATTTTCTTTGCTCACAGAATCACTCCCTGTTTTTCTTATCAGTAAGTAATAATTTCTAACAGCTTGTCACGCGCGTTTGACAATAACTTGACATTAAGAGATTTTTGACAAAAAAAACAAGAAAAAATAGTATAAATACTATTTCTTGTTTTTTTTGTAAAAAAAAAATATATTTCTTAATGTTATGTACATATATGCATCTCCAAGAGTAAGGAAATTACCGATCTCCCCCACTATTGGCGACTTCGCTTAAATTAATTTTGGGTTTTTATTATTATTATTTTTGCTTTATTTTTTTTCATATTTTCGCAGGGATCGCGGGTTAATGTTGTTTAAACTTTTTCTGTGTTTTAAGTAAGATTTAAAATTGAATAAGCAATACAATATTACTTTATTTATTTAATAAAAATATATATATTTTTTAATTAATTTAAGTTTTTTTCAATTTTCAATATTTTTTGTTTGTAAAAAAATCAATTTTATTATGAGTTTTATATTTTTTTAGGAATTTGTTAAATTTTATAGATGAAACCATTTAATATTAAAAAACACTTGTAAAAGTAAGTCAAAATTATTTGTTGTTTTATGACTTTGTTTTTCAAAATGTCTGCTTTTGACGCTTGAAGTGTAAGCATATGCTCATCGATCTCTCTTAAGCAGCGTATACGATACAAATGTAGTAACGTGATAACTGGTTAACGCCGTAAAATAATAAAAAATCAATCGATTCTAAACGTGATAACTGTCCCAAGTGCAAAAGAGTGCAAATTGTGTGTGGTACCTCCCCCATTGATTAAATCCTCAAGTGTTGGACCTGGTTAAAAGGTGTGAGAGACTTCCACGAAATTTACTGGACTACCACACGTGCGAGCGGCATGCGAAACGGTTCAATTCCAGCACCAAATGGTCAAGCTAAGTTATTTTTTTCCAATTGCATGTCTTACCGTATATTCGCTAAATGTTTATAAAAGCATTTTACAATGTTTATGTAAGCATTTCACAATGTTGCAAAAAGAAAATACTAAGAATTCTTTTATTGTCTCAAAAACTAAATTAAAAAAGAATAAGAACATTTCCTTAAGTTTAAACAAACAACCTCATTTCTCATAGCAGACAAATCATAAACAACCATCGAAAAAGGCGTAAGATAAATAAATAAATAAACTAAACATGCAAGAAGACAAAAAATAACATAAACAAGTTGAGTGTGAATAGCAGTATTGCCAGATGTAAAAGTTGAAATTATCGAATTGGGTAAATAAAATTATCGAATTTTCGGAAATTAAGTTACAATAATTGTAATAATTATGTAACAATAATTATTATAATTTAATCATAAAAAAAAAAGTAAAAGAGAAAGAATCGAATTTTTAGAAAATTATAAAATTTGTAAAAGTAAAAAAAATACCCCCCACTGGGAACTGCCTTATCGCAGCGATTGCGGCCTTACGCTCGGCACGAGTGATGGACTCCTCCGCGGGGGGTGCAGCCTCCCGTGGCCTATACGGGGGATGGTCTACACGACGGTAGTCGTAGTACGAATGCCGTTGTGTGGATTGTCTTCCGGGGGGGTCGCGGGGGGTTGTATTTCTTTGCGGGGGAGTTTATCATGTGAGCCGATTATCGTACCAATGGGAAAAACCATTACCAAAAGGGTAAGAGTAGCCCAATTAAACACTGGGTCCACGTCACTCGTAGACAACGCAACAACATACTACAAGCCACCCTTAAACTAGATCTTAAAGAAAAAAAATCGGTAGACCATGCTTCACATTTCATGACACGTAGCACAATACATGCACTTCTCACAAAGTAACAAGACCAGTTGGGAGCAACTAAACAACAATAAAAAAAAAAAAAAAAAAACAACCGACACACTTTACCAAGTTCAGGAACTATCCGACACGGATAATGACAATAATGAACAAGACGAAGACCTCGACTAGGAAACTACACCCCTGCAGCGTAATAACAACTCCCCAACTCCAAATAGTAATCCCAAATGTTTGGAGTAATACTAACCGACTGGTCTAGGGGGATTCCGCGTCGTACTTAGTTTTAAGTCGGCGTAATTGTCCCCCAAAAACCAACTCCCTCCCGTCCCTCATCCATACCTCACTGAGCGTATAGCATAGGCCCGGCGAACCCGGGAACGGCTATTATAACTATTCGCCTCTCGCTCTCGAGCCCCAAATAGGGGACAGTACGGAACGCAATGGACATTCGCACCCAGCAAACACGGGTGAAGCCGTGCAGTTGCTGGGGAAGAACAAAAATCGGCGTAAGTAAACCTAGGCCTGTACGGGGTTTAAGAGTCAAGAGGAAATGGGGCTGGTTATACGTCTCTTATACTCATACTCATACTCATATGACTTTGTTTTTCAAAATGTAGATTAGAATTCAGTTATATCCCTTGGATACCAAGTAAAATGTACCATTTGCTTTTTTTTTCTGTACATAACTACATTTTTTTTAAATGTCACTTGTACCTATTCCTTGGCTTCTAGGGTCCTCATTTATAATATTTAATATTTAAATAAATTATGTATAAGCTTTAAAATATTTTTTATAAAAAAAAATCTCTATTTTCTGCTCATTTCTAAACATTTTCAGGAATATTTTGTCAGCAGGATTTTTTTGTGAAAATTGTTTTTTTCTGCAGGAAATAAATTTTAGCAGAACACTTCCAAACAATCGGTTTAATTATGCACACGTTTGGAAACGAAAATAGTTTGGCAGGAAAACTTAATTTAACTGGGAAGCTTTGTCGAGTTTTAATTATTTTTACTTTGTACGATTTTATTGGTTTCATTATTTTTTGTTTGTACAAAAATGTAATCAATTTTATTATATTAGTCTTATATTTTTTTACCTAATGCATTTTTTACGAATTTGTTAAATTTTATACATTACACGATTTAATATTTAGTTTTTTTATTAATAATAAAGTGTTATTTTTTAAATTTTTTGCAATTTTTTTTAAATATTTTTGACTTATTTTTTAGGCTAGAAAAAAACATTTAAAGTTAATTTTTTATGATTTGCTACATTTGGTATTTTAGATTTTTATTGTTTTTTTTTTAAAGTAATATGATTTTATTTTATTTGCATTTTTGTAAAGTAACACCTTTAAGGTATTTTTTCAAACAATTACATCAAATGAATTCCGCACATTTCCAAACGATTATTTACTTTGACAAAGTAATTCACAAGACATTTAACAGTTTTCCAAAGTAACCACATAATTATTAAACAAACCTTCTTGTTTGTCAAAGAATAAACATGCCAACTAAATCTTTTTAAAAAAATAACTGAACATACATATGTACGTAAGTACACGATTTTTATGGTAACTCGCTCTTAATGGCCGTGAGAAAACACTAAATTACGAATTTACGGACGTTATAGCCGGAATAAAAAATTTAAAATTGTACCTGGCGTGTAGGACCGCTATCCTGTGTTCGTCCTCATTCAGCCAATTCTCGATATCCTTACACACACTGCACAGTCTCTCCAGGGGCGGAGCTAGATTGGGGGCCCACCCCACCTCTTTAACATGCTTATGCTCATTCCTTAATATTCTTTTGGGTTCAGTCAGATTGAAAATCTAAAATAAACGAAACGATATTTTATCTGAATAAGGTTACCGGTATTCGATACCAGTTAATTTATTCATGGATTTAATAAACTTTAAACGCCAAATAGAGAAATATAATAAATTTTAACCAGAACATACTCGTATCTATGTAAATTAATGGCCATAAAACTTAAGAGTTGGATTAGATTTAAGATAAAATCGATTTAGTTACACCATCAACACTTTTAACTGCCATTTAATAATGTACCAAGAGTGATCCAAAAGGACATACACTGGCAAGAATTATGTTTATTAAAAGAACTTCGATACATTACAAAATTATTTTAAAATTCCGACTTTTTCTGGAATCTTAAAATGCATAGGAATACGAATTTTTTAAAATAAAAATCCCAGACATTGATATTTATTCAACTATTTATAACATTTTTATACAGGGTGTCCCAATATTCCATGGACATGAAGTTTATTGATGAAATCATCTCAAAATGGGACGATTTGAATTTGATCAAATTTAGTAAAAGAAAGTTCTAATTTCTGATGTGCACTTTAACTTTACTCAAACTACCCCTACCCTCCAATAATTAGTAGAAACGCTGTTTTTTTTTTGTCTAAAAGATACATCATTTTCGCACATTTTTTTTGTCTTTGGAAAATATCTGTTATATCTTTTCGGGGTTCTTGTGTAAAAATAAATTATCCAGTTGATAATAACTAAATGTTTATTTCATAATTTTAATTTAAAATCAATTTTTCCAATGATAGGTGATTATTTTATCTAATTTCAGAAAATATGTATATATACATTTTAATAGAAAAAAAATCGCACAGAGTTAAATCTGGGGACCGAAGTGGCCAATTAGTTGGAGCATCCTGACCTCGGTTGTTGTTGCCATTGAGGCGATCTTGCAACCTAAATTAACGTTGAAAATGCCTGTTTTTCACTGCGTGTGGATTGACATAATATGTCAATCCACACACATATTATGTTTCAACACGTTTATTGTGGATATTAGGTACACCACGTTATGTGTAAACAAAATTTTTCTATAGAAGAGTTATTGGACAACTTGTTTAAAATTCAAACAAGATTCATGATCAACAGCTAGCAGTTCTTGAGGACGAATGAGTTTTCTGAGAACCCTGTTAACTGTACTTTTTGCCATTCCAGTCTGATGCCCTAAGCCGTTCTAGCCGGGTACTGGTTCCAGGACTATTGTACCATTTCAAGAATTGCTTTTTCCACAAGGGATCTGCAGGTTAGACTAACAACTTAAAAAGATACAGATTTTTACTAGGGACAAAAAATGTGGGAAAATAATGTATCTTTTATATAAAGAAGAGGAAATACGTTTCTATTATCCTTGCAATATTTAAGATCAATTTTGTTGGAGGTTAGGGGTAATTTGGCCCCTTCCCAGGTTTTATTCAAATTAACATGCACATCAGAAATTTTTAGTCGACAGCTAATAAAACTTTCGAAAATGCCGACTCCTGAAAAGAAACATGCGAAGCTCAGAAAACATAGAAGTTATCCAATGGATTAAGGACGCGAAAAATAAGAAAAAGTAATCGATTAAATGGAGCATATTTTACTTTTCTGGGGATTTTTCTTACCTTGTAGTTGTCGCCATGCTTATTCCTAAGCATGTGCGATACCTGTTGCTGGCCTTGCCTGTACGTATGTGAATTTGTCGATGGTGAGAACCACAACGATATAATTCGTTCAGTGACATAACTTAAATCCATACCCCCGGCAAGGGTGTTCGAATTATGTTTTTGAAGCCTAGGTTGGGATGTTAGGACTTCGCTGAAGCCATTGTATGAGTTTGAAGTTATCATCTACAGAAAAAAATATGTAATAAAAATAAGTAATTAGGTACCTATAATAATTGCAATAAACATAAACGTTAATTTATGTAAATAGTAAGACCAAAACTGTTGCGTGGTGTTTTGGTAGAAACTTTTTTCATTAATTTTCAAACATATCTTATCTTATCTTTTGATTTGAACGTAGTTAAAATTGAAATATAATAAATATTTGATTAAAGTATTAACAGACAAATTATTAAAGGATATCATTGTTTTTCATAAAACAAAGATTAACGAACGAAAATTTACCTTATTCAAGTGTCCATGTTTGATGGATGAATCATCATGAGAATGCTGAAACAAAAAAAGTTAATTTAATTTAAAAAAATCATTGAAAAATTTAATGAACAAATAATAACTGCTTTGTTTTATTATTAAATCGTGCTAGCATTGGTTTTGACGTATTAAATTAGTAGGCTCATCTTAATAAATAATACAAATTTAAATCAATTATATCTTCAGTAATTATTTATTTATTACTGTTGAATGATAATTATAATCCAAACAGTGGGATTTCCGTTATTTTCCAAGTTGTTTTTTTACGGGCATCATCTAAATTATTTGTTTACAGTATAAAAACATTTATGAAAAAAAAAATTTTCAATGTCGTTTCAAGACATTTTAATGAGGAAATATTCATAACAATAGACATGCAATATGGAAGACATATTTTTTGTAGGAAAATTTACGCTTTACAAAAAAAATTACGATTTTTTAAAACAATCCATTTAAATAATATTGGAGGTTAATGAAGAAATAAGTAAAAAATATATGTATGTATTTATATCTACTCCTATTGCATAATATTGTTTTTTTCGTGAATAATGATTAACATTATGAACTCCCTGCCTAATAACGTGAATAATGAACTCATTATTTACGTTGTTAGGCATCAGTGATTGGCCTATTTCAATATTCACTGTGATTTGAACCAATCGGGTTTTAAATTGGAAGAAGGCGACTTATATATAATTACATTTAAAATTGGTAAAAGGTAAGGTTAACCATTTGACAGATTTATTTATTTTTGAAAATCATTTAATTATCTACTTATAGAAGTAGATAAAGAATAGTATTACCCTCGAGATTATGCGCATTATTCACTCGGATGATTTAAGTCTCTCGTCTAGCGACTCGAAACGCAAACCTGGCTTTAATTTGTTTTTTTTTACTTGTTAATTATCTGTCGTTTGATGATACTTCAAAATTTTCATTTAAACTTTTTTTACATAATAAAATCTTTATTACTCGCTTATTAATAGACATGTCTCAATACACAAGACAAATTTTTGTAGGAAATTTTACGCTCTACAAAAAATATTTTATACGTTTTTACGTAAAATTACCCATTTCAATGATATCAGAGGTCAAATTTTAAAATATATATATTTTATATATAAAATAAATAAGTATCATTTGGGCAGAGTTAGTCGGCATCGGAAACAAATATTTGTTTTCAAAATTATTTTTAGATTGTAAACAAATAATTTAGATGATACCCAAGTAAAAAAAATCGAACAGCACCTTGATAAACACAATATGGTTTATTTAATTATTTTGTATGTTTTCTATTAAAAATTAAATTAAATTATTGTATTAGTGGCGTCCTTAAGTAAAAATATAAGGTTAGTTCAATAAAACATTGTTTCAATTACAAAAGATAACGTAATAAACTCTGTGAGGGATAAAAATGAAAGATCCGCCAGCTCCAGGTTCATTGAACATAAACATATTAATTTAAATTATAAAACTCACAATCGTGTTTATAATTTTTAACATGTCTTAAAGGCACCTTTATAAGCACAAAGTAATTTAAAATATAACTAATTACCCACTATATACGACTACTAATTATTGAGAGTGTATGTACCATCTATACAGTGTTGGATAATAAATTTATGATTGAAAATTTACGTCAGAGTGGATTAATCTAGGCTTTTAAGTTTAATGGATAAATTATATTCGAGAGATAAATAAATTTCGCAAACTAACTCTTCAGAAAGTAAACAGGAACATGATGTTTGCTTTGCAGCAAACATGCGGTAAAGTTTACAATTTGGCACGGCGGATATTTATACTGTAAAAATTTATGATGCCTACAGATCCGTCCTTTGTAGATATAAAAGCATATGTCACTTGTTTCTATTTATAGAAGATTTAGATAAAAAAATTCAAGGTAAAATTTGCTAATTTTTATCAACACCCAGTCAGTCTATTTTAGACACTTTGTCGTAAAAAAATCTATTATTTGGGTCACTTAAAATAAGTACAAAACTGTGTTTTTTTAAATTAAGAAATAGGTCATATATACAGACTTTCTTGTATTTGTAAAATGCCAAAAAGTTTGGATCATGTTCAAAATACTAAAAAATTAATTGTGGCAATAAATTTTTATTTGGCTTACTAAATTGTTTGATGTTAATATAAAATAAAGTAAATTTTGTAGAATTAAAATTAAACAAGATCTTTTAGAGGTTTGTAAAATGCATTTTCGTGCAAATGTACGAAGTGTACTTTTCCGCACTTTCTATAAATAATACAAAAAATAAATACCTTCTCATTTTCGATATGAAAAGCAACATGCCACAATGTAAAAGCAATTTTGTAAAACAACTTTGGTGTAACAACATTTTGAAAGCTTTCAGATTTAGGTATTTTTTGCACACTTATTTTATCCACTGACATCTTACACTGAGAGAAAAGAATATTTTTAACAAACGTTGCAATTGTTTGAGCCTGATAGCTTTGAATCAAACAACTGAAATTTAATTCAAAATTAGTGCTTTTGCTTCGAATAGGTGAACTGCTTTGCCAAAAATGGTTGATTCGTTTAGGGTGCTGTGTTTGCTTGGAATATTATTAAGTTCTAAGCAAACTTTGTACTGGTAGTCATTAAGATTGGGTTTTTTACGTTTGAATAAAATTTATGTAGGTTTCCGTAAAACGTGCAATATTTTCCACTAAAATTTATTAATGGGTTAACTGAAATAGATAAAACTTATTATAAATCTGCTACCATTTTTGCGAAAAGCTCAGCATTTGCAACAAATAAAATAAGTTTGTGGCAAACATATCGAAGTTAATGGGTAATTGTGCTTAGTTTGGAAAGGGCAATTTTTGGAGTGGGGGAACGCCTCTTGAAACGCGTCTTCTCGTGCACGTACAGTGTATTATAAAGTTTTAAATTTGCCTCCACTTATACATACGGTTCTTACAAAATAATTTGGCTTCCATGCAAACATTTGGATGAAACGGCATAACGTTTAAGAATATTGTATAAATCGTCGGCCTTATCACGAAGTGGCCTAACTCACAAAATTGAAAACGGTGACATTTTGCGAGAGTTAACCTACGATGGTCTATATATATATTTTATTACTCTAAAGTTACTCCGAGGTGGCCTATAGTACAAAGTCTGTACTATAAAAATACATTTCTTGATAATAGAATAAACCATTGTAAGTTAACCTGCAAAAAATCTCATTTTGTTTTTCAATTTTGTGGGTTAGGCCACTTTGTGATAAGGCCGACGATTTATACAATATTCTTAAACATTATGCTGTTTCTTCCAAAGAAACCGCGTTTTCTTCAGAAATGCACGTCCGTTTAATGGAAATGAACTTAATTGGTAACAAGCAGATACCAATTTTTCCTAAAATTAGTAAGTTTAAGGCAAACCTACATCGATTCATACAAAATCGACTATACTAGTAGCAAGCAATTACCAATTTATCAGAAAAGTATTCAACAAAGAATTCAAACTCAGCAAATTTTACACAAATCTAGATGCGTTTCGTTCAAAAGCAGTTTTCCGGAATCGCCAAAGTGATGGTTTTTTACCATTAAACCTTGGTATATTCCGCCGTATTTAAATATGTCATACGTTTGAAACAAACTTTATGCCTTTCGCTGAAATAAAACCTTCTCTCAGTGTAAAAAAGTATAAAAATATCACTAAAAATCACAGTCGAAATAATGAAGAGTCTTCACCAATCACATCATCACTGAAAAGCACTTGAAGACAGTCAAAATATTTTGCCGGTTTGCAACTGCATAGCGTAGACACACCCGCTCGCATCCCGGAGTTTTAAAGCGGCGAAAACCGGAATTGGTCGCGGAACTCCGGGACCGCGTCCTGCGGAAAATCCTGCCATCGAATCTACGATCTTGGACTGTCAAATTGTCGTTGCCATGGCGACAGCATCCTATTCGAAAAGCCATGAATTTGATAGTGGCACTTGATGAGGTTGAGATTGAGTTTTAAATTTTAATTATTTCGGGGGTCTTGCAGGAAATTTGTAGTTATTAGTTTTTAATTTAATAATTTTTGAATATACCTATTTACATAGAATGGTGACTAATAATTATTTTTGTAAGTATTTTAATCGAAAGAAGCTATACAAATACCAAACCTTGATTTTGTATTAAAAGGTATAAAAATAACTTTATTTATTTGTATTAGTTACAATTTATTTTAGATTATCATGGTGTACGCCTATTTATCAATAAATTTATAGTCGCAAATACTTGCATAAAATTTTACAACCCAAAGTACCTTGACAAAATTAATACCCATTGTATTGTGTTTATTTGACATTAAAGTTGCTAACTCGACATGGTAAAATTATTACTAAATAACTGCGTAGGCAGAATATTTTTTTAACAACCGCATTTCAAAGAATTTGTAGGAAAATTATAGTTTTTAACTATCCGAAGGTATGCATAATAATAAGTATTCACACTTTGAAGTAATAAAATCCAATATTAAATAATTAGTTTTGTGTGTATTTTTTTAATTTATTCGCAATTAGGTTAAAAATATAGCGTGACTGTATTGAGTAATAAAAAATGTAATGCAATAGATAGATGGCAAAATTAATGCCTCAGGGTTAAATTTTATTATAAAATTTGGGTTGTAAAATGTTTTCTTTGAAATACTAATCAATTTGAAAAACAGAATATGTTCTGGTTTCTTGAAAAAATGCTGACGATTATAAAAATCATTTCTAACATTTTCCAACATTTTTAGTTTTTGTAATTAAACTAGTTTCGTGTCAGATACTCTCTTATTTGGTTTGGTGACATAAAATTTATTTTTAAGGTAACCCCACAAATAAACATCCAACGAGGTAAGGTCTGGAGATCGGGCTGGCCACTGCAGCTCTTTTACCAATTTACCCATTAGAAAATATTTTATTTAGGTATCGACGAGTTTGTAGTGCGGTAGTTGCTGAAACCTGAGTCTATTATCTGGTAAGCCTGGATCATCTTGGTTTGGAAACTGAACTACCAAA